TCCAGAGGGTCCCAGGTCACCATATGGCGTGGGTGTTGAAGCCGAGCGAGAACATGGGCGGGAGGCTGCGAAGACGACGACTGGCATTGCTGCCCCGTCTGGGGGGGGGGGGGCGGGCGGTTGCCAGAACCTGGGAGCGAGCAAGGGGGTGTCCAGGAGGCCCAGGCTGATCCCCAGGAGGGAGTCCAGAGGTCCTGGAGGCGTCCTTCCTCTATGTCTGAGCCCGGCCATGGATCCCCGTCAGGTCCTTCCGTATAATTTCGTTAACTGAGGAACAGAAAGGAGCAGTTTAAAAAAAAAAAAAGCACACTGTCACACCAAAGACGCACATGGTCGCGGACTCATGTGCTGGATGAAACTGCCCTTCCCTTCCTGTGTTACATGTACAGACTTTTTTTCGTTTAACAACTGCTGTGGCTTTAGTGGTGTATTTACTGGCCGAACCCCAGCACTGCACTGGTCAGTAAGAACCCCACATCCCCAAACCCCTTGCCCCACTCCAATGTCCTCCCCCAAACCCAAGCACGCTCAACCTTTGTCTGAGAAAGGGCTGGGTCTTAATCAGCCAGCTTATTTCCAGTACAAGCCTGGATGGCAGAAGGTGAGACTTTGCGGCAACTGAGGGGCTGATTAAGAAGAACTTTAGCACGCTGCTTCTGTCTTATAGACAGATATAAGGGAAATGCGAGATATTTGCTTCAGTACTGGCTACAGGTGTTAATAGATGGACGGGCGCTGCAATTCCCTCGGGTGCCTCCAGGGGGTGGCGAAGAGAACCAGCTCCGCTTGCCCGCCCTTTCAGATTTTCAGCGTCACCTTTCATTGCCTCGCACTTCCTGTTGTTTCGCAGAGAGGGAGTGACAGCAGGGTATAAATGGAAACTTTTACAGCCTCGCTGTTCTAAAAATAGACCCAGGGCACATGTGAAGTTTTTCTGACATCTGATAGGTGGGTGGTAGCACATTCTGGGACCTTTACCCAAATAACAAAACGAGTAGGCCGACGTCAGTTAAGTTTATCAGATAACGGTCACGCCATCTCATAACGGGACATCTGCGGCCGCAGGAGGTAGACTGACGACGAGCAGTCCACGGCCGTCGGGGACCCGTGAACTGGGTGCTGTCACATGAAAAGCCCTTCGTGCGCTGCATCTGACGTCAGGGTCCTCGTTCAGCGTGTTCATTTACAAACGGCTTCTCTGAAGAGACTTAAGAAAGCAGCAAAGCCGACGTTTGGCACCAGCCTGGCTTCCATTTCACAGTAAACCTGTTCAGGCGTATTTCACTGACTTTCAGAAAAAATAAATAAATTAGGCAGAGATGTAACTCGCTTCCTGCATTTGACGCAGATACCGTCACCACTGGGAAAAAGCTACATTCAACAAGCAGGAGAAAATGGACTATTTAATTACTTAATTTGACAGGTGTGATGGGTGGGTCAAGAGCAGACTTTTTTTGTTTTTTTGTTAAGAATTCTGGTGCGTAATTCAGCTAATGGATCCATAAATGCAGTTTCTTTCTCTAACTTTTTTTACACACACACACATATATATACATACATATATATATACATACATATATATACATACATACATACATATACATACATACATATATATAGGCCTATATATATCTATGTATATATATATCCAGTTTTTTATATTACACACACAAACACACACACTACTAAGTTCCGTTTGGACAGTCTGGGCTTTAAGATGACATCGCATTTGTGGGGATGTCCTCTTTGTTAGGATTGGGTAGGTAATCGATTTTATAAATACAATATTTTTTCCCAAATTCCAATTTTTCCCCCCCCAATAACATTCATGCCACGTTTCCGTGCGGGCGAACGGGGAAGCAGGCAAATTGAGCCGAGAGGGCGGGTAGAATCAGGGGTTTATTCGCAGGGAAGCAGACAGCACGATAGACAACGGCTGACATCACCAATGACAGATCTAGGGAAACTCACGCAGATGCGGACTAAATACACAAGACAGGTTGAACCGAACAAGCAACAGGTGATTACAATCGGGGTAGGACACGTAGGTAATGAGGGGCGTGGCACACACGAGGATCGTACGAGCCGGGCGTGACAATTCAATTGAAAAATGTGTGTGTAAACAGTTCTCATTCTCATTAAAAAGTTTTAATTGTGTCTTGAGTAGTTTCTGCATTTGTATCAACACACAAAGCATGATAAAAGGGGCTTTTACGTGCTATGTCATATAAAGCAAATACTGCGTTTGTCCACTTTTTGATGATTGTGACTTTTTGCTAAAGATGACATATGTCCATTTTCCTTTGTCTACTGATAGCGCTTGGCTGATTGTAAAGATGATTTATGAAATCTCACAATGATCATTTGTTTTAGCTAGCTAACATAACTGTTCATTTTGAAAATAAAGCAAGATTAGTTTGTACCTTGTTGGCATTGACATATTTCCCACAACAATCTATTGTTCATTTACAACACTAAACCGTTCACTGATAACTGAAAGATAGGATTTTGGGAGATAGGTGTTTTTATATCGGACAGCGATAATATGCTGGTTTTCAAATGCTTTTGACAAAAGAAACCCACCTCTTTGTAGTCAGCCTAGCCTACAAACACACACACACACACACACACACACACACACACATGTAGCCACTAGAGCTCGAAAATGGCTGTCGATCTACTCGCAGCTGCCAGCCACCAGTCTTGGTTACGGACACATTATTTTTCATGTCGTGTGTTTATGGTTTTATTGGGGAAACCAGACACGGATGCAGTACCACCCAATTTAACACGCCGCCCCTTGCTGGCCTGTGCTGGTTCAGAGAGTGACCTGCCTGGACCAGCCCGCCTAACGGAATAAGGTCGGTATGGTTCGCAAGACCCAGCATGACCTGTACACTGTATCGCTTCCGACACAGGCGGACGGACTGCAGCATAACAATAGAAGAACGCTAGGAATGTTGAATATGTCACCTTTCCAGAAACGCCACATCCTTCAGCCAGTTTCCTGGCCAGCGAAGCTGAGTTATCAGCAGCGGCCCTGTGACTGGATGCTACCATGGCACCACATGTGGGCATATGGACTGTTCCTCTCCACTACAGGTGGGCATATGGACTGTTCCTCTCCACTACATGTGGGCATATGGACTGTTCCACCACACTACATGTGGGCATATGGACTGTTCCTCTCCACTACATGACGGCATACGGACTGTTCCACCACACTACATGATAACAATTTCACAAGATGCTGCACTGATTTCTAATACATTGTTCTACTAAACCATGTTTCCTGTTTTTAGTCAGATTTAAGGAAGTCTAAAGCTCCCTTTTAAATACATATGGTTCTTAGTCTCAGTTAAGACACTGCCTCAATGAAGAATAATCCCTTTTCTTCACTCATTTTAAAGTTGCTTAGAAGACCCATCCTGAAACCCTTAAAGAGAAAAATTACAAGCGCTGGAACAGTGCCACTCTGTTCTAAACAAACATGTTTGAAGTTACAACCTTATTAAAAATCGAAAAACAGGCCATATTTCACAAACAATGAATCACTCTTCAGCACTGAGAGACCCAAAGCAAACATGACATTTGAATGGTTTCCTTTGTTTTTGACCAGAGGGGCTGCTCTCCTTCCTGACCTCGCGTCAGTTTCGTGGGTCTGCTGTCAGGCAGAGATCTCTATTTGGCTGGCTTCTCAGAACGCCTGTTTAAAAGTCTGACCTACATAGCATGACGAGGGGAAACGGGCACGGGCACTTGTGCTGAAAACAGATGCCCACGCTTTCACCAAAACTCCCGGCAAACATGGGGATGGTGACCGGGGCGGTGTGCGTAACACGGACCTGCGCAGGGCGGACAGCAGCATCTGGCACGAACTCGAACCAGGTTGAAATGCTTCTATGCAGATGACTCACGGTGACTGATGGCAACTGAACATCACAGCACATATCCTGACCTCTTTATGCAGGGTTACACTTTCGTAATGCTAACCTTCTTCCATATTTTTGGGTGGTTTCTAAATTTTCTAAGCGCCAGCGGCTGAAACATGCGGAAGGGAGCAGAAGTCCGCATTACGACTGAACCATCCACCCACCTCATATGTTATGTAGCGTCATAAACGAGGCTCAGTGTGGATTTCTGTCATTAGCTTAGCCTTTCGCACTTGATTAGCAGCAGATGTGTGAGCAATGCAGCGCTGGGGCCCGGAACACAGGCCAGCGGAGCGCTGGACGTTAGACCTGCACAAGCAGCGTGAGATATCTCACAAAGCTGATGATGAGAGAATATGGCTGCCGGGGATTTAGTGTAGACTTTTCAGGGATCATGACCGGCAAGACATTAAAAAGAAGATAACGAGACTGACAAATAGCACTTTGCCGGCCCTGCAGTGCCAAGTTAATGAGTACACCACTGCGTTGGGCGGCCCTGGGAGGGTCTACAGAAGCCACACTACCTCACACTTTTAAGGCAGTCTGTCTCAGTCCGTACTGCCGCCGTGGCGCCCCCTGCTGTTGGCGATTACGGCAGCTCAAGCCCGGGCACCTCACTGTGAGATCTAATCGTTGACGGCTTGTGCTGCGGGCGTCTGGGCGCGGAGGCGGCGCCGGCCCAGTGGGTTACCCGGCACGTTTCACACGACGATCCCCAAGGTCCGTAGAGACGCCCCTGAAACCCGACACTGCTCCAGAAGGCGCCGGTGACCCGAGACTAACGCGGACGCAGGGCTGCTCGCCCGGCTGCTGCTCCGTGCTTTATCTCGCCTGCTCTCTTGCCACACGGAATAATCTCACCCTCCGTCCGGGCCCCCTGGGCTGCTTCGAATGCCGCCAAAGCACGAACGGCCCAGCCCAGAATGAGGCCCGTCTGACTCTATCTCAACATTTTGCTGACCCTGTCCCGCCAACTTTGATCGATGCGCAGAATCACAGCCAGCCGCCTTCGAACTGAGCAAGACCGGGCCGCTGCGTAGGTTACTGGATGATGACATTTTTGTCAAGCTTCTAACATGCAGGCTTGAAACCGCGACTGGCAGGAGCAACATTGATCCTAGTGGAAGTGTCGCTGTGACCGTGTTACTCCTGCTGCTAATAATACGTAGCCTGAACCAAAATAGAAACACAACAGCACCGAATCATGAAATTGCCCACTTCTTGAGTGTGCCTTTTTTCTTTGGGGAGGGCCACTTGTTTCTCTGAATTAACTTATAGAGAACCAAAGAAAGGGAATTTCCCTATTAAAGGTCTTTATGAGATTTCCAGGAGCAAATAAAATAAAATAAAATAAAATAAGAAACAATCAGCCTGCTACCAGACCATGAAAATAGGAAAGACGTGGTAATGCAGCCCAGGCCCACCGGGTATGAGCCGGAGGATCAAAGCCACCGTGGGGGTCGCCCCGGTAACGCAGCATCAGTCCATTTGCTAACAGCAACAGTGTTGCTGTTTACAGAGGGAAACCCGATTAGAGTATCTAAGAGAATTCCCGATTAAGCCCACGGTTAAATTTTTTCCACCGTCCCCCCCCCCCCAACAAACACACGCCCCTCTTCCTGCCACCCCCACCCCAAACCCTATCTATAGGAGATCAGACACGGCTGTAGGACGCAGCTGCAAATAGCAGGGATTTCTCCTGCCAGATTGGCAATAACCTCCATGGTGACACACGCACACACCAAAAAAAATTTCTCTGGCGGGTTCCCCCCATAGAATTGAGGGGCGTGAGGCCAAGTGGGGAACCCCAGCCAAGTGCAATAAACAAGGAGGCTTTCCCCGGCTGGCCGTTCCTCTGTTTGACGATGGTTTCCATAGATCTTGTTCCTGCCCTCATAACAGTTCTGACACATGCAAACGCACATGAAAAGCTGCTGTTTTCAGTAGACAAGGAGGTCTACAGTCGCTCGTTAGGGCAAGGAACCGGCCCCCCCAGGGCTCCATCCCAAGATGGATAATGACGCTGGGATCGTGTGGCTGCACCTGGCCCATGATGACCCCCCCCCCCCCACCCCGGGGATAAGCAGTGTCACCGAAGCGAGAGCGCAGGGATTTCAGGCAGTGCCCCGACATCACTAAAGGCCATCACTTGGTGACAAGTGGTGCTAGGGTGGGGGGGGACAAGGAAGTGGACTGAGATCACCTGGCATGGATAAACGAATAGAGCCTGCTGTGACATTTGAGTTGGATAACCGAACTGGAATGTATGAATATTTCAGACGTGGCAGACTTTCCGTGAGGTTTACACCACGGAGGGCGAAGGCCGGCCGCGCGCACCGTCCTGGCACGATGCAGCCTGTTTAGCGTGTTTGCTCAGTCGTCACAGAGAAAGGGGGTAGGGGACTGAGTTTCCTGCTATTGTCCCGGGGCTGTGCTGTCAGCCAAGGGAGCGAGTCCGTCACGGGATAAATCAGTGTTTTGTTGTGTGAATGTCAATCGTTATTCCATAATCAGTTATTGTTGGAGCTTCTCTCGTAAACAAAACCCACTAATATGTTCGTTTACATTCATAGCAACCGGGCCGCTGCCTGACATTAACCTAGGTGGAGCCCCAAAGACAGATCTCTGCTTTCTGGGGAGGGGGGTAATCAAACGGGCCATGTCACCTTTGTGACACCGGCCGCCCCCCTCAATGCCCGCGAAAATCATGACGCGTTTTCTGCAGAAATGCACCATCAGAAACACTGGCTGTTACAGGTAATTTGGTGCATGCAAGCCTGAGGTGTCCTTTACTGAAAACGCAAGTCTGTGCTCTGAAAAGTCACCAGTCAGGTTAAACCGAGGGAAGCAGAGAGGCATCCTGCAAGCATGAGGGCATCTGGGATAAAAAAAAAAGAGAAAGAAAATGAAACTGCTCTCGGTTTCAGGTCTCAGATACTGCAGGGTGGCATCAGGTGCAGAGTTAGGGGCAGATTTTCATTAGCTGAGGCACCTTGTCCTGAAATGAGAGGCAACACAGGTTCTGCTTTAGGCTTCTGCAGCGATGACTGGGCCACTGATTGGTCCAGCCAGAGCCGCGACTCTCCCTCACTGTAGGCTCATGCAGTGTCCTTAGTGCCAAAATGCTGAGTAGCTATTTTTGCATGAACTGTTAAATGCAAAAAAATGGAAAAAAAAATAAAATAAAATCCTGCATAGTCGGGAGTAATTCCATGTCTAGACAGATACTCTCCCTTTTTCTGGTTTCCTTTCTGGTCTCTCCCCCCCCCCCCCAGAGCCATGCTATATTATTTTAAGAAAATGTTTCATAGCTGTGGTTCGGCACAAAAAATATATATTACTATTATTATTTGAGCGGTATTGCCCAGTCAGAACTGAAACTCAAACTGAAACACTGTGCCCCGGTTTGTCATGTGGATCTCCAGCTCTAGCACCGGTGCTGCCAACCGCGATCCGCACTTTAATGCATTTCTCAGTTTATGAATTCATAGCCCAGACCCCCAGGCCGAGTGGAGCCCTGTGCTGAAATCACTGCAATTACTCCCTGACTGGCCACATCTATCAGCTAATCTCACATTCAATACTTTTACTTCTCTGAAATTAGCTTCTAATATTCATGACTATGTGGTGAGGATTGACCAGCTGGAGTCAACAATACTTCACTGTGCAATTGTGAGCGTGTGCATGTTGCCTGCGATGGTTTGACGCCGCATTCTATGCCCCGTGCTGCCCAGGAATAGGACCACCAGGACCAGGACCACCCTCCCTGACCCCTTACTGGACAAGCGCCTGGAAGATGGATGGAACGGACTGAATCGCTGGTGCACGCCAGGGAGAAGGCCATCAGGAAGATCAAGCCTACAAGAGTGAACCAATTGAAGTCTAACCATGGCTGGCTTCCTAAAAATGTTTGGCAAGTCGCATATTTAACATTCATGTCATCAGCAGCATGACAGATTACGAGGTTGTTGAAAGAAGGGGTGGCTTTGCGGATTAAAGAACAAAGTACAACCTAAACTTGTCCATCTTGTTCCAAACCTTTTCATGCCTCGATTTTATATTACTATTAAGGGGAGGTAAAAATGGTTAATTGAGCCTTTTGCTGCTGAATAATAGTAATTCATCTAATAATTCATCTGATTACAGCATCCAGCGGTCCTTATCTGATAATCGGCAATATTAATGGATTATGCCCAAACCAGTCCTCGGGGCATACTGGACAAATCCACCATTTTCTTTTATCCCAGTTCCCAGAACTCCTCACCCAAGCAATTGGGAGCTCCAAATACCTTACAGGTGTGCTGGGAACTGGGATAAAACAAATATGAGGATCCATCCAGTTCCCTAGGACTGGATTGGGGAAACACTGGATTATGCTACCTATGAAAATGACCTTATTCCCCCCTCCTTGACTTATGTTAATATCAGTAAGACAGGGCTCCCCATTTCCACTCCTGGGGGGCCAGATTCCAACACAGTTTGCAGATTTCCTCATTCAAACACACATACTAAACCTGGTAATTAGTTTACTTAGGTGAGTTTGAGCAGGGGAATCTGCAGACTTTGTTGAACTCAAGCCCTCAAGGACCAAAACTGGGTCCCCAGAAGTAAGGTGTGATGTGTGTAAGTCAGGAGACATATGTACGTTAACGAGATGTTCCCCTGTTAGATGCCCGGGCAGATTTGGACAGCAGCTCTGTTCATGAGTAGGGCAGTGGACGAGAGCCTGCTCACCATCATCCAGGTACGCCTGGTCCAGATTCTCCTGCTTGACGGTGACCCGCCCTGGAACGCTGGGCCTCTGCTCCTCAGACGGGGAGCATCGCTGGGGCTCCATCTGGCCTGGCGAGGTCCGGTTCTTGGTCATCTTCTGCACGTAGGGCTGCTGTTGGATGACAGTGGGATACTGCTGGGCGTTGGCCACCTGCGCGGGGGCAGGTGAGCGGGCGGCGGCAGTGACGCCCTGGGGGTAGCCCTCGCAGTACATGATTGGCTGCGGCTCTGTCGGGGGCGGGGCGCCCCCCCGCAGCAGGTGGTTGGTGGGGGAGAACTGGATGATGGAGGAGGGCTGAGAAGACGGGGAGCCGTGAGGCGGGGCGCCCATGGTGGGCGGCTGGGCTGGGGAGCCGGTGTGCACCAGCACGGATCTGTGGGGATCCGGCACGCCCCCGCCTGCTGGCTGCTGGTAAAGCGTCGGGCTCCCGCTTAGCCCTTTGGCCCCACGCGGGTACACGATGGCCGGGCTCTGCTGCTGGAAGCGCGAGTCGGGGCCCGGCAGGCTGGGGCGCCCCTGCTGGCAGGACACCAGGCAGTTGTCAGGGTGGATCAGGCCGCGGGGGCTGGAGTAGAAGGACTGGGGTGACATGCCGAGGGCTTGAGGCATGACGAACCCCAAAGAGCCCGACTCATACTCATCCACGGGCTCCGTTTTGATGGACGGCACTGTGGGAACGCAAGAGACAAAGGCAACGTGAAAGACGAGTAAAACGCCCACCCAGCAACACATGTACCGTCATCTAGGGTAAGGGGGTGGGGCAAGAGGGAGGGCGGGGCCTCACCTGCCAGGGGTGTGTAAGTGAAATGTTGCGGTTGGCTCCGTTTCCTCTTCCCGTTGATCACGTAGAAGTTCACTTTGGCCGCGTGGGAGATGGACCGGTCCCGATACGGCGGGATCTCCACAAACAACATGTTCTGGGGAGACGGTGCAACTCCGGATTAGCGACCGCGGCGGGATAGCGCGTGAAAACGCCTCAGCCCCGGGACAGCAAGGGAGAGAGCGTCACGCGGGCGGAGATACCTACAGCTTGGCTCTTGTCCTTGTCGACTGTCGCCTCCACCTCCCAGATCTGCTGCCCATCTGCAAAACAGACACACACACCGTGCAGGTTTCAGGCAGAAGAGTTAATCAGAACTGGGATTCCTCATCTCGTCCTCATCACTGCACGGGGTCGCCATGCCCCACCCGGCGAGGCCAGCTAGGCACAACCATGGATGTGAAAACGAGACAGGAAACAGGACAAATGAGAAACTGAGACATACAGGAAGCAACAGCAGCCTCTGGTTCGTTCCGACTTGCATCTCATCAATCAAGCGACAGTTGCATTTTTTGCTGCAGACGGGGAAATTGGTAGCATTTTTTGATTTTCCACGAAGTCGTCCATCCCCTCGCAGACAATGAATGCAGTCGACATTAGTGTTACCGGCCGGCGCAATAATTTTGCTTTTAGGCTTCTGAACATATGTGGGAATCGGTTTCTTGTCTCTATCAATCGCTTTTGTGAGAATGAAAGAATTTAACGGACAAATCTCTTCATTTACTGCAAGCAGTATTTAGCATTTGAGAACGTTTACTTGCAGAGTAGCTAGATGTAAAGCTTACAATTGGCAAACAAAAGTAGGCACTCAGCACGAGGATCAAAGCTGACTGCTGACTTTACGAATATATGGGGGGGGTTTGGGGTGGTTTCCAAATCAATTTACAGTCAGTCAGAACACTGAGAACAGTTCAGGTAAGATCAGCTGTTTCAATATTAAGACAGTGGATGATGTGCTATCAGACTATTTGCATTACAAGATTCTGGTGGACTACGATCTTGGGTAGCAGGATACAGGGAAGTGGCCTGCTCTCATCGCCCTCTCAGGCCGTGTTTGTTTAACTATCCCGGCCCGTCCGAATTTGCATGACTCACCTCTTGTTCGGCCTCAACATCCTATTCAGTCGAGTGAGATAAACAGATCTCCAGGGCCAATGGGGATGAGTATCCCAGTGGGAACAGAGGATCCAAATATGCTCAATCAGAACTGGTGAAAATGTCGCTTTAGTATTATTTTAACTGTATTTTATTAGCATGACATCTCCCTGGCCTTGGAAAAGCATTTTAGTCATTATTTCACTGGAATCTCCTACAGGAGTCAGGCCAGCTGCCAGGGCTCCGCCCACCACTGCAGCTCCTCCCATCCTACATTTCAAAACGAGCTGCAGTGATATCAGTGGAAACGGTGTGGGCCGACACTGCCTAGGATTTATGAATTTCCTGCGATTGTGAGAAGCCGGCTGCGGGACGAAAACAAGCGGCCAGCGGTAACCACGCCTCAGGCCCACAACACCCCCCCCCGCAGAAAACCCGGTGACCGGGACTGGGGCTGGGGCCCGGCGCTCCCGAAACACCTCGCCTGGTTCCCCCGCAGGCTTTGAGATGAAACGTGCGTTGCCTTGCACCACGCTGTCTGCCAGCGATCGGGACGGAGCCGTCTGCAACCAGAGATCACGCCCATACAGTCCGACCACATCCTCTTACTTCGTGTAGACCAGATCGAGGCGAAGGGCTCGCCATACTGCATGCTCCCCCAGCCTGGGACCTGACTCTGACAGATAGTTTTACTGTCAAATAACACCTGGACGAATTTACCAAACAAACATCCTCACATCACCACTTTTCACTTCCCACTCACACTAATAGGTTCAGCCATGATTTTCGACTTGAGGTCAATACAAGAAAATAAACAGGCTAAATAAAACCACATTAATCCTTGTCGTGGGTCTTTTTATTACTTTTCAGAGTTTCTCTAAAGTGAACCTCATCGAATCCTCTGAAGCACATGTGAGTTTTGCCGTGAATTCTATTCGTTCTTGAGAAACTGCAACGTTCCACGTCCTGCGACGCTCACGAAGCCACCAACACTCATCACAAGTGTGAGTAACCCAGAACCATAAAGACCATCGCAACAGGAGAAACGCCATTGATGAGGTCCAGCCCAGAAGAACATTCGCACCTTTCAAGAAAAGGCCCCTCACCCATCTTCGAGGTGCTGTAATTAATCGGCATGCAGTGTTTACCGCGCCGGGGCCCTTAGCCCTGCCTGAATCGGATCACTGTGTCTCGTGTCCACCGGGCCCAATGCAGTCTTGTTCTAAGTCGCCCCTTGGTTGTGATCCAGTTTCAACAAGGTGGGAGAACAGCATCTTTGAAGGGTCTCGTTCTTCTCCGGGCCAGACCTCGAAAAACCCTGGGGCTAGCAGCCCAAACTGTTCCGATGTTCGTGTTTAGAGAACATTACAGTTATTTATTTGCATTTTTAACAGGACTCATGCTTTACTTGGAGTACATTTTTTTTAAATTAAAACCCCATAGAGAAAAGGGCAGCCGAGGGCAGCGTTACATGTATGTCTGACCGTTGGGTTATCGCCCCCGTTTGTGAGATAACGGCGGGCGGCTGGAGTGGCGGCGAGCTCACAGGCGGCGTGCTCACAGGCGGCGTGCTCACAGGCGGCGAGCTCACAGGCGGCAGGCTCACATCAGCGAGCTCACAGGCGGCGGGCTCACAGGCGGCGGGCTCACATCAGCGAGCTCACAGGCGGCGGGCTCACAGGCGGCGGGCTCACAGGCGGCGAGCTCACAGGCGGCGGGCTCACAGGCGGCGAGCTCACAGGCGGCGGGCTCACAGGCGGCGAGCTCACAGGCGGCGGACCGAAAGTGGCGGTAAGTGCTAGACAGTAAAAAATGGGCATGTAGCGACCAGGCGATGCCCCCCAGTGTGATAACACCTTCTTCTCAAGGCACCCGAAATCCCTTCAAACACAGACACCCCGGCTTCTCTTCACACGTATACATGCACAGGCACATATGTGTACCCCCCCCCCCCGAAAGCTGTTCCTCCGCAGTTAGAGATAAACAGGAAGGAGCTGTGGGTGTCTGGGGCCGACACTCCGCTTGCCTCGTAGGACCAAAAGTAAAAACCGTAGTGCTTTTCCAGGCTTTGCCGGAGGCTCCCGGCCCGCTGTTGCCACGGGTTACCTGGCAGGTGGCAGCGAGGTGTTTCTCTTTACCTCCGAAGAGGAGGCGGTGTGCCCGGCTGGGCCGGACCGAGCCAGATCGCCCGCTCGTCAATATTTACCCGCCGCGGCTCAGCTGCCAGATGCGGCGTGACAATGGATGTGTGGGTAATTTATAGTGTTTTGCTGTTTGTCGAAAGGTACGAAGAAAAAAGGACCTGGGGCAGAGTGGATCTGATGTTTAGAAAACAGAACAGTTATGCTAAACAATTACATCTTGTAGGCAAGCTGGCTTCTTGAATGTTCTATGTCGCTCCCGAAAGGAGTGTGAGCCAAATTAATTAACAGCTGTGTTTTAGCTATTAACTCCCAAATCTTTACCGATGCTTTACAGTTCACATGTATACAAGCTCAATGCCGTGGCCACCCAAATGCCCCCCCCCCACCCCCGAAGCAGTTCCTCACGAGAATAAACAGAAGCCACGCCCCCCCCACCCCACCTCCACGCGTCCTGGCCGAGGGAGCGCGCCGTGTCCAGATGCGTTACTCACTCTCGGCAGAATGTGGGAAACCCCTCTCTGGGCCTGAAACAAGGTGCACATGGTCAGAATGAGTCACAGCGAGGAGGGGGATTCCAGCCCAGCGCTGCTTTTTTTTATGATTAATTTCACCAGAGGCAGGGCCAGGGCCTCTTTCCCCTTGGCGTTTGCCATTGTTTATGTTTTGTTCCAAAACGAATGCTGAGAAACCTCCTTTTAATTTATTAATTCTTCTACTCCATAAGGCACAGAGGCTCCATCTGCGGCCCCCGCCTTCCAGTGACGGGGTAGGAGTGGAGCTGGGAGCCAGCTGTCTCGCGTTCAGGGGGACCACGGGCTCCAGCTGTTCCTAGGCTCTGTGTCACGAAGGGAAACCTTCCAAAATACTGGCGCTCCTGCTTCTATTTGGTCAGCGGGGGCGTGATGGGAGGGAGACCCGACTGATACGTGGCATCTCACATGTGCTTTAAGGATCCGAGGCCCACGGGCCCTCCCTGCCAGGGGAAATATGAGTCAGAGCTGTCCACTTGCAGCACGATCATAATAACAGGCGTGTGCGTCCTGTGATGTTGGCAGTGGAGCTCAGGGGGCAGTAAATAACCATGGGATGTGAGGGAACACAAAACATCAACAAGGGCCCCTAACTGCCTGTATGTGGAGGCCACATCATGGGAAGAAAGCAGGGGCCCAAGAAGGCCCCCGAATATGCCATAAGCTATACAGAAGATCGCACTCATTCGCTCACGAGGTGCCTGCAGGCAAACGACAGAAATGCTTCGCCAAAATATCAGGGGTTTGATTACAGTTGATCAGCCAAGCTCTTCCTATACATATACACTTACTTCACAAGCCCTTTAACGCCATTGGCCACTTAATAGGGCGGGGCGATTTTTTGACTTCAAATCGTAATCGCGATTTGAAACAACGCAATTAGCAAATCAACAAAGGCTGCGATTTAGGATATCCGTTATGCAGCAGGTCGGACCCAGGGTTTACAACTGTTGTGAGAATAGTTTTACGAATTCATGCCGTGCTCCCTGTGTGACAGTCATTCTCACCAATCACAAGTGCCGCGTTTCTCGCGTGCCAGTCATGCTCACCAATCAGAAGTGGCCCAAGAAGACTGCGTATAGGCCCACAAACAGCAAACACGTGAAACCCAAGAAAAATGTTGCATTCACGGTGCGGAAAAAAATTGCGATTCCGCTAATGAGCTCTAAATGAATTGCCTTCTTATTTCATGGTCCGAGATTGTTTCAGAAGAGTCCATGATACAATAGAACCGGCGACCTCCTTTTAAGCACCAGCAGCGACACAAGGGCTGCATAAACCGAAGTAGTTCTTGCTTGTTCATTGGCGTGGGAAAAGGCGGTTCTAGTGTTATTAGGGGGGTAATAAGCGTTACCTGCAAGATCGCTATTGTTTTTCTTTTTGCTGCAATTGTTTTCATTATTACTTTATTTAACTTAACACACCACATCTTTAAATTCTCATCCTTGCATTAGAATATACACCAGTTAATATTTTGATGGTATCTCATGTGGTATTGCTGTTATACGTTTTAAATTTACTACACACTGAATATTGAACTGAAGCTTGACATAAAAAATTATATCACAAATCAAATCGTAATCGCAATGTCTATTAGAAAAATTGTGATTAGATGTTTTCCCAAAATCGTTCAGCCCTACCACTTATGTACTAGCTATTTGAAAAGCTTAGGAAGTGTTTTGATAACCAGCGACGGTGTCCTGTTGCCTTGTGACCCAGATACGCAGCAGACCCACGGCGACACTGTCCTAGATAAGCAGCCATGAATGGACAGATGGATGGCTGGACGGATGAATGGACATTTTTACCGATAATACTCTGCACTGAGGCACAGGGAATCTGGTCTGTACCTCTGCTATCAGGGTGCAATAACTTAGTAATAAACCAGACTGTGATGCAATTAATGCGTAGAAAGGTGGTGCAGCTGTGGGTTTGTGGTGGTGGGATCATGATAAATGTCTCCCACTCTATCAGCATTTAAACCATGAGCACCTTCTCTCGCGTGGACTTGATGAGCAGCACGTTACTGCATTACTGTCCAATGAGATGATTCCAGATTGTGGCCAATAGCTGGAAAACAAATCTCACAGCAGTCTGGCGGCACTCTTACATACAAAATGCACTCCTATCCAGTCTGCTTCGCAAACGCTGTAAAAGGCTCAGTGCACATCTGCACCTCCACTAAATAATTTATGTTTCTGGCAGTTCCGTGTTCGACTAGAGCTCCCCCCCCCCCCCACCAATCACTAGCGACAACCACCTCTATCTAACATCACATCTCTACTCAGCATATGGGTTTTATCTCACAGCTCAGCACCTCCAGTCTATGAACCATTTTCACAGACATTTCAGAAACGCCTGTCCGGCGATTAAGGTAGACGGGGTGAAGATCGACCCCCCCCACCCCCGCGCAACTTAACGCGGTCCAACCACGCAGCAGCGCGCAAAGCTGACTGGCAGCGTGACTCACTCTCCGCCTGGTCGCGGCGTAAATTATGCAAAGCCCCGGAGCTGGGGCAGACAGAATGAGGCGGACCGGAAAGTGCCAGAAAGGTGCTTCTCAAAGGAGACACCGGGAGCCGTCGGGGGTGCGAGAGGCCCTGGCCCATATCGCGGGGGTCACGCCTTGTGACAGGCTCTTGTTTCTCTTTTGGAGTAGTGACTGATGTCATGCTTGTTTTTTTAGCCCACCCTTGCTGGAACCCATGGGGGCCACATTTTGGGGGGGCCAGGCAGAAGCCACATTTCCTGTGCTGTGGGTGCGGCGGAGCAGACGGTGGTCTCCCGTGCACATCCCGCAGAGTGACTGCCTTTTAAGCCATTACTCATAATTTACTACATGCTCATTCTGTCCCCTACCCTACTTCCAGGATTAGGGCACGCAGAGAGACTGACAGGTCGAGAAGGTGACAGGCTGTGACCTCTGTGGCCTCTGAGGATAACCCGAATGGTTATCGAAAGTGCCGGGAAAAAAAATGGAAAGCTGTACTGAATCATAATTTAAAAAAACAGAGGTAATAAAAGGTGGTTGGAAAAGTCATATATCAGACATCTACACTTCATGCAAACCATGCATTAATGTGGCAGATTAGAAAAGGCCACGATTCAAATGAATTGTCCTCTCCTATTAATTGAACCCAAAGGTGCATGACATGGGCCACTTCGGAGTTACATCAGGAAAGCCCAGATATGTTTGAGGTCTGTTAAATTAGCCAAGCGCCTCATATCCTGCTGAGCACCGCTGCCGATTCATAAGCACCAGGCTTAATTCATAATCAATATGTCACAAGAAGGGAAGTAGATATAGAACGAGCCAAGAGACAGGTAGGGGGCATACAAAACAAAGATTTTCGGGGCAAAATTATTAAACTATTCAGGTCATCCCAGAAGGAACTGGATCAATCTGATATCTGACAGGTTACAAACATTTCAGAATGAAGCCTCAGAATGGCAGCACTTTTAAAAGGAAGACGACAGGCTGAAGCCACCCACTGCACTTTTAATAAACTAGCTCTTAATGAATTTAAAATGGCGAAGACTGAGAAAACATTCGGCGCCCCGAAACGTGTTTAAGCAGCTGATTACAAAACTTCCTGTCGTGCAGAATCATCCTTCTCACATGAGGAGGCAAAAACATTTGACGACCTCAGAGCAAATTGCAACACTGACGCTGCCCAGGAAGTTGTAAGTTTCAAAGTGGATCTCGTTCAATGAATGATTTGGGGGGGGGGGGGTTACTCACCGTGCGTCTTCTCGATGAAGACCACCTTGGAGTCGGCGGTGAAGTTCTGCCCGGAGAGGATCATCTGTTGTCCGCCCAGCACCGAACAGCCGTCCGTGTCCTGCGTCTCCACCATGGGCAGCTCATGGGCCGAGCGCTGAGCTGTGGGGATCAAGGCCCCCCAGGTCAGGTGTTTGGTATTTGCAGCAGATGGGAAGGGGGGTGCAGTTTATGGTGCATAAGGAATACCGACTGCACGAGACTCTGTCAGGCGAATGTGCCCACCAGTCTCAGCCAATCACTGATCACATCCATGACTTCTGACCCCCCACCCCTCATGACCCTGACAGTGTAAGCGGATGACAGACAAAGACAATCCAGGGGGCTTGGTAATTAACCCTTGAATACATATAATTATATGTGAAACTGAGAGGTAGGGCTCAACGTGACATTTTCTTAGGGGGCACAGAATTTCTATGTATTCCACTTGGGGGTGGGGGGGGAGCCTGTTCCATGTGGCACAGGGCAGAAGGCTGGGGAACATCCTGGACGGGATGCCAGCTCATGGCATGGAAGGCACACAATCATACGCTATGAGCAGTTCAGAGATGGCAATCAACCAAAATGCATGTCTGCGGACTGAGAAAGGAAACCTGACTAGCTGGAGTAAAGCTGCACGACACGCACACTCCACATACAGAGTGGAGGAGGGATTCGAACCCACAACGCTGGAGCTGTAAGCCACCATGTTTACAAACAGTAATATTTTATAGTTTCATTTTTACACTGACTTTACATACCAGGCATGCACCCTTCCTCACAGTGAAGTGCTTCCAGTAATGACAAGCTATGATACCCCCCCGTACTTTAATGCAGCATTTAAGAAGCCCTTTTGTCTTAATCATAAAATTCTACCCATCAGAGCCCTTACACTCTACAGCCAGATTCAGTCTGGTGATGCTGAGGCACTTTGCTGTAAACCGCCAGATTTATGTTGATACCACTGTAGACCGACGACCTTAACCTGCCTCAAATTAGTTAATGACCTTAGAGAATAATCATGCATTGATATTTTCCCCCTTGACCGTTATTCATTTGGCCATTTTCATTCAGAAGACTTTTACCTTAAGACTGTTACACTGCAAAATTAATATTAGCCGACATGCTTAGCTACACAATGTACATCTTTAAAGTTGGAACACATTTTTTTTTAAATCTCTCTGCACCATTTTCCACTGCACTTTAAATAAGTTATACTAATTTATATTTATGCAGTGTCTAAAAATAGTGAAATGTAATATTATGACAGCACAGGATTTTATTTTGTATGCCTCCCACGGAGAGTCACCTTACTCATCACAAACACGTTTACAGACCCATTAACACACCTGAAACCTGAGAAACGCACAAACACAGGAGCCCGAGGCCAGAATCCAAATCGCCAGGCCTAATCGCGTATTTCCCAGAAGTGGAAATGTCACAGCGATGATACACCGTCTCCATCGCACAGTGCTTAGCCAGTGTCCAGCTTCTTATGCAAATTCAGCTAATATACCTGGATTAGCTTAAAGCAGGTTTAAAAAATACATCATATCATCTTTCTGCCAACACAATAAACCATACTTTGCCTTAATATTTAAATAAAAATGAAACATCTATTTAAAAAAAATATATATATATATATATAGCTTTATTATATATGCATCAATCATAAAACATGAGAATGAGAATAACCCTCTACAGGGCAGGACTGAACCAGAACCACATGCAAAAAGAGTTAATTACGATTAATTATGATGCACAAAAAGAGAGAATTTCGTGGGATGGATCAAATGCGATATGCCACCGCACAAGAATGTTGGGCATTTGCCGGAGAAGCCAGCAGGTCTTTTCCTGCCAATGTGCCGATTGCCACGGCAACGAGGAAGAGCAGAAGGACTTCCTCTGTGCATGGTGCTGCAGCGTTCAGGGGGCATTAGGACCCAGGAACTCAGTGGCCTGCACCGGACACTGTGAGGTCAGCACCCTACCAGCGCTGCCAGGCAAAGCGGGCCTTATTTTCAGGGAGGCAGCGTTTAGTTATAACGTCAAAATGACTAAAAATTAAGTATGTTACACTCTAAAAACCAGTGTAATACCAACATCACGCGCAAAGAAGTACTCAATTTAGAGTTTCAAGTTTGATCTATCTAAAATATTTCTCTTATCGAAAAATTGAACATGCAAGAAGTATGTCACTACTCGATCGTCCCACCGCGCAATTTAAATGCGAATGTTCATAAGGAGAAATGGCGCTTAAAAGCTGCGAGGACCCACCCCACTTCGGCAGCTTCGGCAGTTTATAGCAAAGCCATTATCGCATGAGATAAACGGCACAGGTGAGCAGGGCAAACCGTCCCATGCGACGGCCGGGGATTTCTGGGCCGTTTCTGCCGCTGCCGGTGAACTTGGCCTCCTTGTAGCTGGGAAGCGCTGGGTGGGTGTGGGGCACCATGAAATATCACGCCAACGCACCCCACCTCACCGCTGCTTATCTCGCTGCATGGGCGATGATGTGGAGAGATTACACACACTGGGGGCCATTCATTAGCCACGGAACAAAGAACCCAGAACCAAAGGCCCCTCCCCACCACCGTTATCTGGCCGTTGGTGGTGGCAGTGGGGGGGTGGGCCAGTCGTTCTCCTCTGGCCTACATAGCGACGCTGTAGCCACGTGGCCGTCTTCAGTCCCCGTTTCGGTTTGACGTTGCGGCCTGGCCTACGCAAAGCAGCCAAGGCGACGGTCTCATTCTAATACTAAATCTCAGCAGCCCACTGACCCACGTCAGAAAAAGCTCGTGCTTAATGGCGAAAGACAGCACGGTGCTCCGGAGGAGAGGAAAAAACAGTGAACAGACAGCAGAAGAGCTCACGCCGTGTGATGTCAGAAGGACAGAGCGCCCTGCTGGAAGGCGAAGGGCCACTCAGGGACGGATAAGAGGTCCTGCGTGCAGGGGGGGCGTACGGTGGGGCCGGCCCACGCTGACCCTCCCACCCAGCTTCACGCCAGTCGGACGAAGCGAAAAACTGATGAAAAGTCTGAGCGGAACTTTCTCCCTGACCAGCTGATACCACCCCCCCCCAAATAAATATCTGGTGGACACGCAGACATGGTCATGTCACAGCAGCCACTTCTTTTTAAGGGTAGAAGTATACGTTTCTCCATTTCAAAAGCGCTTCCTCAAAAACAAAAAGAAAAATAGGCACAAAAAATGTTCACAGCCAATAAGGCTGAAGTCTGCTTTATCATGGGAGACTGCAGGACTGCGCAGTCAAACGGACAATGGAGGAAGAGGAGCAGGAGTGGTGGGAACTCACAGCACTCGATGGCGTGGGACGCCGCCTGCAGGGACACGTGCTGCCCCCCCGGCTGCGGGATGTGTACGCGGAACACCAGCCGCACACGCGTGTTCTTCCTCCCGATGTCCGTCTCCCCCTTCCGCAGCTCGATGTCGGCGTTGCGCAGCTTCAGGATGCCTGCGCAGTCGATCCTGCATGATGTGGGGGGGGGGAATTGGTAAAATTAATACTGATTAAGTGGCAGTTTGTGGGTGAAAAAAACAAACAAGTACATTCTATCATCTTAAACTCAATAGTGTACAGTGATACAAATATAATAATAATAATAATAATAATAATAATGTTAGTTATGTCAATTAAGTTCACCTGTTGTGTTACTCTGGTTTGTTAATCATAAGGACTGTGAGCCATCCTGACTGGCTACACATCGGTCACATGACACAAAGCTTTCAATGGCAGCAGCAGCTCTGATTGACGTCCTCAATGCAGGAACTACTACTGAACGCGGGAGAGGGACTCACATGGCCCTCATGTTGTTCTTGGGCTCCAGGGGGATCTCTAAAACCTTGGTGCTGCTGATGACCTTCTCGTAGCTGGTGGTGGTGACGGTCTTGCCGGTGATGCGGTGGACCTGGTAGAAGGCGTGCGGCTTCAGGATGCGCTCATCCGCCGTGCCGATGAAGATCTGCAGGCCCAGAGGCTCCTTGCCCTTGTATCCATGGAGCTGGAAGACAGCAGCAGAAACGGGCGTCGGTTGGCTGAGGTAGCCATGGAAACCACCATGTGTTACGCTTAACTCCATGGACAGACACACCCCTGCCCCAACACCACTGAAGCATCACTCTATTCACTTCTTATGCTCTGAGGCTCTCCCAGTACTAACTCCTCCAGAATCCACAGCTTTGCTCTGTTTTTTTCTTCCTAAACGACAATTATTAATAATACTATTAAATAGACAGAATTCTTGTCAAGTCTTTTCTACTCCTACAAAGTCATTCATTTTTATAAACCCATGATTCTTTCACGAGACTATTTCCCACAATCCATCACTTATTTACATGCACAACGGACCGCGATAACATTTACGGACATGCACTGGATTATTTACATGCTGATACTACGGCAGAGTCTGTACCGGTCTGCTGCCAAAACGATCCCATGTAAACCAATGCTACCCCCCCTCCCCCAAACCCCAGATGCACTGCTGAACAAATTAGCATCAACATGAAGCCTGGAAGACCAGTCAGGGTGTGGGCTGTCTGCAGCCCAAGGCCAAAGGCAATGGATATTTTTTGTGACAGCCTCTCTCCCCTGCCATCACCAGATAAATTTATCTGAAAACTGTTAGAAGGAAATCCATATGTGTACTTTAATTGCCTCATGCATCTCTATTCAAAAACATCTATTCATCCAGCCTGCTTAACTGATACAGGATTGTGAGGGGCCTGTTTCAAGCAGCACGGGCTGGGGTCACCTGAATGACATGTCAGGCCACCGCCGGGCAGAAGACTGGGGACACCCTGGATGGGACTCCAGTCCATCAAGGGGGACATACATGCACAAAACTCACACACAAGCACACACTATTGTCAAGAATCCATTCAGTAAAAGAAAGCTCAGTAAAAATTTTTCAATAATGGGGGGGGGGGAGGGCAGGTGACCTTGGACCTAGAGAGGTTTTTTTTTCTCCCAACTTGGTAGCTTTTGGTTCCTCTCCTCCATTGTCTTCCTTTTTCCCGTTCCGTATCTCTCTCTAATTATGTTTTATGTATCACAACACAACCCTGTAAAGCGCTTTGGGGCAACTTTGTTGTGGAAGGTGCTATACAAAAAAATAAAAAGTACAAACAACTCGCCGGTATTCAGTTCACTTATAAAAAAAAGGGTTTTCATAACGCCAATGACAGAAATGGCAACTTTAACAAAGGGCAATGGCCCAGCCCATGGCTGCTCCCAATGTGCACCAACACCAGACAGCCCACGCCTTGTGAATACTACGCGTGTTTCCTCACTTCTACTGGTAAACAGGCAACATTTGCATAGGCAAATCGTCCGCTGCAGGTTTTCTATCACAAAAACGAAAGCGGGACTTCTCTAACAGGACGTGAATTGTGTTTAAGAAAAAAAATTATTTATAAGTCGCTATTTTTAAAAACGGCAGAAGAAACAGCGCGAGGATGTGGCGGCAAACGGCCTCGAGGGAGGGTCTGAGGTGGAAGCGCAGAAGAGACAAACAAAGAGAAAAGAGGCAAGGGGCACCATTTTATCCTGAGACCAAGGAGTTGACCACTAACAGCACAAACAGGCCACGCTGCCTGACGCTGACCCATGTTGCTGACGAGCGCAATTTCCCGCGCGCCTGCGATAGCTTATGATGCTGCACGGGACCTCCACCTTACGCGCAGGATGCATGCACTAGCCGCAGTGCATGAACTTGCAGCTTTGCACTGCTGCAACATCAACCACCCAGCCTTACAAAAAAAAAACACCCCGCCAGAATTCACCAAATCAGAAGAGAAAAAGTAGGAGCTTGTGAGGGCATTCTTTCATTTGCTGTCACGCAGCCACGCTGGTACCAAGACCACAGTTTTTCTTCAGAGTTGAGTAGCAGTTCAGCGTGCCGACCTCATCTGTCTACGCGCTACTGTCCCAGATCGGCTTTTCCAATCTGATACTTCTTTCTGCCACAAACTTTTTAATGGGCAATTGTAAAGTCCTCTGTTTTTTTAATTTAAAAAACCAAAATTATCTAAAATTATACTTTGTAGATAATGTTAAAGCAACATATTAGTTACAAGTTACCTACCTACTATACATTTTTTAAGACCACCTGTTAGTGTGCAACAACATGAGTCAGAGGCACCAGTTATTACAACTTACATGAATGTTAAAAGGGCACAATTTCCCATGAATAAAAACGTATCATGAAAGCGTGTAGCTAAATTTAACAATACTTATATTAAGAATAAATGTTACAGTACAGGTAATATAAAAAAAAAATTAAGGAAAAGCCATGACAACTAGTTGAGTACAAAGTCACATTCGCAGAGTAATCTACCAGTTGGTTAAAACAAAACCTTGGTCTGGATTTGTACTTTCTGGACCTGAACTTCACACCTCTGCCTGTAAAGTATTACTTTCAACAGTAACTTCTCCAACACTGGATAGTTATACTTAGATATGAGAAATTCCAGCCTTAAAATCCTCTTAGATTAGGCTGCTACAGCCAGCTGTTATCACTACACATTTCTGTCGAGCCAGTCAGGAAGTGGTATGTTTTGCAAAGCAAATGCAAAAGTTCTCAAGAAGTGTCGGCATCTTTTTGAGGCACCTTTTCAGTGTCCTGACGGCGTCCGCTTGGGTTTCAACTGCGGGGGAAATCCGGCTGCAACCTGGTGCAGGTTCGCATTTTCCTGATCGAAGTGTGTCTGCCGCATGGCGCGGCGACGCCAATCCTGTCCAGTGGGGCCCGCAGCGGGCTCGACCTCTTGACCCACTTTCTGAAATCCACATTTTTCACACCATCCGCCTGAAAACGGCCTGCGTCAACCGTTTCTGCATAGTTTGGTTTTAATTGGTCGACAACCCATGCGATGTGTACTGATGAAACAAGGGCTTTGGTTTCCCTCGTGCCACTATAACTATGTCAGACGACATACTGAGGGATCATCTTTCTGCAGCCACCTGGCAAGTTTGCACTCCTCCAACCAGAAGGTCCAGCTGGCAGACAGGAGAGGAGCTATTGGTCTCTAGACTGATGGCCTGGCTGGGCTTCGACATTCAGCGCAGTCCGCGCCGTTCGGGGGAACGGCAAGATACGGCAGGGCGACGATCAAGCGAAGACTCTGCTTGCTACAATGTGCGTGTCATCAGGCCCTGACAAAGGACGGCAAGGGGGAACTCATCCGCACAACACCGAGCAGGATGTGCGAGAGATCCACCCCTTTGGAACTACATGTGGATGCGGTCGCGTTTAGCGTGGTGGCAGCTTGGCTGTAAGACCAGGGAGATATAAACCACACAACTGCAAACAGTGGCGTTTCCATGGGGGCCATGTCTGTAAACCTGGTTGCTATGGAGCTGTGGAGAGTCCGCTTCGGGCCCGGAGGAGGAAAGCAGGCCCGTTGGCTTGACAGGAAATTCAGATTGGACCCTAGCACAACCATAATCTGCCATGGGGTGGGAGGGGGGGGGAGCTGTTGTCATACATGAAGGTGATACAGGGGGACAATAATTAACTAACAGCTAAGCCTGGCAGCAGGTGTGACGAGAAAGAAATCGACACACTGCGATTAAACGTCACGTTATGAATAAATGAAGAAGCACCGTTGTCCCGTTTTGTTTACGTGTGTTATGGATTATCCGAGCACGCCGGCCCCTCCAGGCCGAGAAGGCGGCAGCGGGAATCGCCCGGACAAGCACGTGTCGCATGAAAAGGCGGCCCCCTCCTGCACTGCAGGCAGAGAAAGTGCAAATGCTGAACACAGAGACGGGCCCACAGGCCAGATGTGGGTTTAAGCTGACTGTGGGCGGAAGCTGGGCGGGGGGTGGGGTTAATCAGTCATGCTGAACGGCCTGCAGGCACCTGTGACATCAGCCATCGCTACTGCATGCAGGGAGCATCAGGCAACCGGCAAGTTCATTCTGTGTCACATGAAGGGGGAGGGGCGTGCCTGACAAATGACCGCCAACCCTCACATTAATATATTACCATTCAGAAATGTCTAACCTAATAACTGTCCTAATAACTAGTTAGACAGACAGACAGACAGATAGATAGATAGATAGATAGATAGATAGATATATAGATAGATAGATAGATAGATAGATAGATAAACTTGTTAATTATCTAATGCCAAAACTAATTAAATATCTGCAGTTTCATGATTTTCAGGATTCAGAACTTATTTTTATTTCATTTTTATGGCTGAAATTTTTACTTTCTTCTAGGACGCGGAAATCTCCTCTGGGGAGTCAAAACCGAAAGTGTATTTTCTTTGACAATCTCCCCAGCCGACCTGCTGACCTTGTTGCATGAGGAAGGTAAGGATGAATCTGAAGCATAGATATTAAACATGCACGCCGGGTATTAAGGCGACTCTCGTCTGGGTGAAAAATGGGGACCTCAGCTTTAAGGGAAATAGCCATCAAGGAGGGAATGTTCACCGTCTTCCAGCTAAGAGGAATTCAGGCACGGTTTCAGAAGTAAGGTCGGTGAAATCGATTACCTAATCCCCCCCACGAGTGATATAGATGTAAACGCCTCATGAGTTTTGTCCTGTGGGTGGGAACTCCCATGAGACTGAAGATCGTAGTTTTCATAGACAGCCCTGGAGGCCATAACAGGCAAGCGTCACGGGCATCGGGGTGTCACACCCAGCAGCACTGGCGGACGGGGGCGTGACACGCCGTCACCTACCTGGACCACGGGATGGCCCCCGGTTGGGGCCTTCACCGCCCCCCGGCTGCCCTCGGTCTCGTAGTGGGCGCGGTGGTGCTGCTTGGGCTGCACCTCGATGCACAGCTCATACTGGTCTGTGCAGGTGGGCAGTGGCCACTCCAGTGGCGGCAGGGAGGCCACGGGGATCCTGGGGGGACAGGAAGTCGGAGGGGTGTCACCTCCCAGCTACGCAAAGCCCGGATGCCTTCCATCATAAGTATCAGGTTACTGTGAACCTTTTATAACCCAGATGTCTTTAAAATACGATTCTAACAATCAAGATTCACTCTATGTCAAAATGATGTCAAAGGGCAATTGTTAGAAATGATGAGCATGAGAGACGTAACTCTGTCGTCTTATTGGGTTTGGGAGACTTAAGGAGATATCCACCAAAATCGTGTTTATTTCAACAGGACAAATCGTAACCTTGGGGCTAAACGTATGAAGGCAGCCACACGGCACAGGAACCCCCCCGGCTCTGGTGGCAAGTTTGCACCTTTGCGATGGTTAATCCAGTGTAGTTTAGCAGTCAGTGTGAATCAGATGACTAACACCACATTTTGCGACGCCTACATGAGGGTTCCAGAGCGAGCTAGGCCATGCTTGTTAGGCCCCACCCCTCACCATTACCTGCAGATACCGGGCATCACATGATTGGGCCACATGGGAGGGATGACAAAGAAAGGCTCGGCTCCGGACTGGGTCTTCACGTCCAGATCCGGGGGCACCAGGTACGGCTCCGGCTGGCTCTCCCGGTAAAAGGTGGCATTGGAGGTCTTGATGATCTTAGCGGGATTGGATCCGGGCAGTGCCGGGTTGAAACCGTTCAGGCCATCCACCAGGGCGCTCGAGTGGCTGTAAAGCACACCATTGGGGTCCTCGTGGCCGCCGTGGGGGGACGGACTGCGTGAGCGCGGCCCAGGGAAGAGGCTGGGGGTCTTGTACATGTCGTAGGTGCGCTTGCCCTGAGGGGAGGTGGAGCGGGATCCTGGCCGCGGGGAGGGGGAGCGCGGCCCCTGGCAGCTGTCCTCCGTGATGCTGGTGCGTGGGGACGTGCCAGGGGAGGTGCGGGGGGAGCCCGTGTGGATGTTCTGCAGGCGTGGGCACAGATCTACAGCCGTGTGGCCACCGCTGGGAGAGACGCAGGGGGACGCCCAGGGCGAGAAGCTCTCCGAGTGCCAGCTGGTGGAGGAGTTGCTGCTGGCCGGACTCAGGCACTGGGGTTCCCTGTAGGCCAGGCACTCGTGACCGGGGACGGTCAGAGTGGGCCGGGGGCTGATATTGACTGGGTGGGCTTGGAGGGAGTCCCTGCCATGGTTGTAGTGCTCGCGGGAGGGGGTGATCTCTATCCTGGGGCTCAGCGCGAGGCCCGCAGGCCTGGATAGGCCCAGGTAGGCCCGGTTCTCGTGGTGCTCGCAGCCCACGAGGCCGTCGGAGGTGGGGTCACCGTAGGGGGAGGGGCTGCAGGACTTGATGTCATAGGCGACCTCCTCCAGGGGGTAGGCCACGCTGGACGGGGAGCTGAGGGCTTGGGGGGGCAGAGACGGCTCATCTACAGAGAAACATGTAAGGGAGGGAGGGAATGGACCATCAGGAAAATGATTCTGGATAACCTCTGGAGAAACCAGCGAGAAGAAATTTCAATATCATGCTAATTTTTTTATTTTTTAAAGTGAAATGTGCAAAAAAAGTGAGATTAGTTTACATTTGCCGCTTCAATAAATGTAAACATAACTCAGTAATTCGGACTTTTCTGTACATACATCTTCGCCAAATGGTATTTTTCCTGATTCACATTTGTGAAGGAACATGTGCACAGTATTCACGTGCAAACACGGCGATGCGGGTATTATGGATATTAAGTTGATGAAAATATTCAAAAAATATTTTACAATAATCTAAAAAACTGGGATTTTAAAAGGCACATTAGCACATTCGATTAGATTTATCGTGGCCAGCACACACATAATTAGAACAGAATATAGGAAACGCATTCTAATCACACCCTGTACATTCAGCTGCTGGAGAATTAGGAGGAAATGAGGCGCAGTGCACCAGACCCAGTTTAACAACACCCTGGCAAGAATACACGTTGAAACATATTATTCAAATAAAATACATGACTTTATTGTATATTGTTGTAATTAATAAGTTGTTCTGTTTCTTGTTATCGACTGGTTTATTGTTTAAACAATACATAAGAACTACTGAAATCACTTGGAAGTAAACCTCGTATTTTGGAATAGGCGCGCATAATCGGAACTAACGGTAATAATTTGGCTTTGGATTTATGGTGTGACTTCAAACATATGTTTTACGAAGTAAAATGCATCTTGGATAGCATGAAAGCAACAGAGTCAGGTAAAAGCAGGAACACATGGAAACACCCCAAGTGCTTTTTCGTACAAACCTTGATCTCCGGTAAAATCGACGCAGGGCGGATCGTACTCAAACAGGTAAGCAAAGTCCAGCTCATCTTGGCAGCTGACTTGGCTGAGCTCCTCCGCTAACCCTAAAGCGTTAGGGTCCTTGTCTTCGTAAACTGAGGTCATCGGTCTTATTTCCCAGGTTTAGACGCGATTTAAATGCAAGAAAGATCTATTTTAAAATATTATTCCGAGAGAGTCTGCGGAGATTCACATGCGGAGTCAAACGGGGCTGTGAGATAGTGAGGAGATCCCTCGATCGAGTGGGTTTTAGGGGGGAGGGGGTACGAGGACTGTCAACCAGGTCTGAAGCAGAGCCGCGACCGAAAGGCAGGCAGCACAAAGGCAAGCTTCCTGTTTCAACTTTCCACATGTAAATAAGGCGTGCCTCATTCTCACCTAACGTAAATAAATACTGCAAGGTGGCCGGATTAAACACGCCGCTGAATAATTAAAGAAAAAAGTGCTGCTGGGGAAGTGCTTAAATGTAGACTACCCTTACTGTAAATAAATGCATGCGTTAAGTTTACATATCTATATTCAAGTTCTATTTGGCGGGATGGATAAAAATTAAACGTTATGTGCTACCGCCCCCGGGTGTCCACGTTTATCAACTGTGCCTTTATAGCCACGCTTGGTATTTCGACAGGGTTTTACCTTGGTTTCCTTCATCCGTATAAGTGATTGACATTTATTAATATAAATTAGCCAATAGTTATCAACAGGGGCGCAGTGGGAGAGGAATGAATAGGGGGGTTGAGTCTTTACTGGGGGGGGCATGGCAAACATACATAATATGGCAAACTATTCATGACTTAAGCCAAGAAATACACATTTATTTGGGGAGGCTAAAACATTTTAGGGGGCCCATAACGACGCCTCTTATTATGAATGTAAATATAACTATATGATCGTACTAATTTTACAATTTCCATTATATAGTATCATATAGGCCTACAATAAGATAGGCCTACATGCTAGGTTCTTTACCATTCCACTTTTGACAGTCATACTGGATGCAAGTTATTTCGTAGTATTTAGTCCGCAGAATAGAATTTTTGTAACTGATCACCACAAAAGCTCGCTACAGGAAACCAGAATAATTCCCAGTTTGTAAACACATTTTAAACGTCTGGCTAAAAATTCAGTCAAATTTCACCGAGGAAAATGGGCCAAACTGCTACTGCGCTGCTTCGATTCTCATCCTGAGGAACAGAACAGCTAACAGAACCGCTGAACCGCGAGAATGATGGGGAGCGGAAGCACAGGTGAGGTTTATGAAGACCAGTACGCAAACACAGCGGCTATTTGGGTAAAGTACCGGGAGAAATGGCACCACCTATTGTACAAGATGACTTTTAAATTAGTTCATCTCCCAAACCCAGTTCCAATAGTGAAACTACGTAAACACATTTATGTTAAATATAGTTTTATTTTTAAAAAGGTTTTCTTCATTTTTGAACCATAAACCATTTACAGTGAGACTGCATATACTTAAAATATACTTGATATATAAGCCTACGATATAACTCCATGGTTATCTCGGGTCAGCCTACAATCTATCGGCTGGAGTACAGTAAAATAGAATAATGTATAATCAGGGGTCTTTAACTATGGTCAAGAGAGCTACTGTCCGGCAGGTTTTCTATCCTCCCTGGCTTCTGATGAGCCGCACCTGTTCTCAGGTACATACCAGGGACAGGCGTGGCTCATCAGAAGCCATTTACGACAGAAACCCGGAGTTGAACCCCTGTTGCATGTTTTCGACCAAACTCGTGCGTCCTATATTTACTTAAATCAATAACGTGAAATTAACACAGAGGTTGCTGATGTTCCAAAAAAAAAACACTGGGTTATAAATAATGATATATCTGGTAAGCCTGGTGCCTTCACACCTGAGGGTTATTCCACAAAGCAGGATTTCTCAGGTATAGAAGTCATGATTGTGCAATAAGAGTTTAGGTAAGGAGCATACCTATTGGACAAACATGACTGCTACCTTAAAGTAACCCAACTAAACGAGAAATCCTGCTTCGTGGAGCAACCCCCCCACCAAGCCTTCCGTTTTATGTTTGACTGGGTTTGCTACAGCAAACTGCTACAGGAAAAATAGCAGCTGTGCAATCGCTCAAAACTGAAATCCACTCAGATTACACGCCGAAATAATTAATTCTTGTAGTAAGATTACAGCGATTTGGATGTGGTCAGTAAAGCAGAAATAAAATACAGTAGGTGCTAAATTGTACAGTTCTATTCCTGCTTATAAAATTAATCACACGTGTCCATGTAATTAATCACACTTGGGTTTGAATCTTCCTTGCAGAATAAGTTGCACGTAAGTTGTTATGGGAAGACTGATGGTAGGTCGCAGCGAACATTTAAGCATGTTATAAAAAATGCACACGTAAAGGAAAATCTTCATCCACGTTAAGACTGCGTTACTAGCGTCGTTAGCCAAGAAAGCCTGACAGGCGGAGGAGGCGTGGACCTCCGAGCAGCACGCGCACTGCGCCGAAGGGATCGCCTGTTCCGCTGTCGTGTAACGAGATCGAGGGTTATTACAGTGAAGTCAGTGATCAAAACGTGATCGTCCAAAATAACCGAGTGTTTAGTTAGTACGTTAGCCCACTGACCGTTTATCTTATCACCAAACTTGTCTTTGTCATACAGTTTTCATTACGGTAAAACTCATAAAAATGCTTTTGTATGACCAGACGTACAGTGTCCCGCGAACAAATTATATCCGACGTGTATTTTTCTGACATCGAAACGAGTTCATTCAAAACATGTTGTCCAAGAAGAGGTTATAACATCTCCAAGTGTTTGCATTACAAAGCGTTGTTCATCGGCGCCCCGAGGAAGACAAAAGAGTTTTCAAAGTGTCACAACAAACATTTGGTCTCAATGACATAAAGTACTACCTTACAACAGATGCTGGTGTTAATTCTCGAGTTGCAGGGTTACCTTTAAAGCAATAGAAAAGTTGTCAAAACGCTTAGCTTACCACGTCGGAACATGGAAAAGACACAGGAAACGTCTACGGTTTTCACAAACACACATTTTACATCTGGCTAGGCTACACCTCTTTCTTAAACGAAGCGGTTAATAAACGAGATAAGGAAGCATGAATAACTAGCTGACGATACAACCCGAAACGTGTATAAATGAAAATAAAACTTTAAAAAAGAGATAAAATCAAATGGGTTGATTACCAGTTTATCAGATCACAATACCTCATCACGTCCATACCTTGATCCATCGACCTCATTGCGTGATATTGTGCCAGTCTCCAAGAGTCTCTAAACATTTGGGAAGTGAAATAAATTGCTAAAACAATTAATCTCTAAAAATATCTCTCCCCAAAGTCATACTAAAAGTGGTCTTCAATGGAGAGGGGAAAAAAGTTCAGGTAGAGGCAGTAAATTCTCCTTTAATTGTAGTATAAAAAACATGAAGTGAAAGCGCACCGCTAGCTATGGTGATGGTATGAAGTGTTATTCCTTGCGCCGAGGATTCCTAGAGTATCAGGAGCAGTTTCCTTCCCTGCTCTGGGTGTTTATAATGGTCGAATGCTATAAAATAACGGGATTCCCTCAGTGTTTCCTCCTGTTTATGCGCGTGCCCATGACAACCTGGAGCGCGTCCATACTGGAGAGTCAGGGCTTTCCTGCAAAGCCCACACTCAGGAATCCATGACGTGTCCGGCCTACGGGCCAAATGCATTTCTGCGGCTCCTCTCAGACAGTGGCGCACAAGAACTTCATTGTGGGCATAAAAAATGACTGAAAGAGGAGGGGGGAGAAAAAAAATGAAAACAAGACTGGTGTTTAAATATATACATAAAAGTGGTCTGCTGCTGCTGCGGCGTTTGAATGTTTATGGGTTTGAATGTTTACCGTGGCTTAATACGAATAATATATGAGCATCTTTAGTAATCGTACAGTTTGAGTGAGAATGGGAAATGCATTGATTAATTAGGCAACGTTATACGTGTCTTTTTCGTTCGAGGTTTTTTTTTTTTTTTTTTGCGGATGTCAGATTTTCCACTAATATTATACTTTTTATAATGTCGTTATAGCTGGTGTAATCATCTCCTAGGACGTCTGTGTAGATCCTTTAAAAACATCGTTATTAATGTGGTAGATCAAACCTGGTGTTCAGGCATCAGTCATATCTAACTAAAGTCTTTTTTTCTGTTCCTAAATCTCCGTTTTATTATGTCTCCACCGATGGTTACACAGAGCAGAACTGTAAATCAAAACCTGGAATGAAATTGTTCTTTGAGCTATAGGTAGTCGTTATGTTGTTTTGCTGTCTGATAGAAAAAAATCCTTCATTGGAGGAGTACGTGGAGGGAGTTCACATTAACATGCACGTCTGAATTTATCCCATGATATTTTTACTGGCGTGTTAAGTACACAGACTTTTAAGGAATAGGAGATTTTATATCTTCGCCGAATGCGGAATGGTTAAGGCTGCCATTCTTGGACTTTCAACTGCATGAATTGTACTAGTAAATTAGCTTGCGATATTAGGAATATAGACTGCTGTGTTGGGCATGAGTTCACTTTTATAACTTGTGTGCATTAAGATTGCAGATTTTTCCTTCGTTTTTTACAATCTGAGCTTTAGCCCAGTCTTCCCCTAATACAGGTCTCATTCAGCACCACTAAAGAGCGCATTCAGTCACATGGCTCGTCTTAGACAGCACTTGTGCTGTCATCAAGATCGGGAAATTACTTTTACCTGTCATAACCCTTGCATATTATTTCTATTAACAGTCACATATTGCACTATAATTACATGTGTGGTCACGATGAAATATGAAATCTCGGAATCGGCCGTGTCTTTTAAAATAAACATGTCTATATGTGAACGTAGATCGTAAATGTTTCAAGAAAACGTAATTACACATTAACACTTTCGCACTGTATTCGGGCCTGGTGTCCTTTGCAGGAAACTGTGAAATCCAGATAGTTATAAAGGCCAAAGTAAATTCACGCAGGCCTCAGAAACTGTACTGTGTTCAGTCTAATGGAGCATCAGGGAGCAGCCTTACACCTGAGGAGCGCTCTGTGGGGACCATGATTCTGGGAATGCACTGTGCTGGACTGGCATTCCCGTTCTTTGTGTGTTATGCTTTCTGGGATAGGGTCCACTCGATATACTGGATAAGTGGTTATGAAAAATACAGTATATGTTCTCATGGAATGCAATTTATTGACCGAACATTTTAATTATATAGCACATATGGACTGACTAGTGTATGTCAAATAACATGTATTATAAAGGATTAAAATGTGGACTTGTGTGGGACTCTCAGACTCAGATATTAAAATATATCTATAAAAATGTCAATATTTAATTGCGGATATTATTATTGAATAAAATAATGAATTGTTTTTTCAAGAAAGGTATGCTTGGTAAGCATGTCATACAAAAAAAAATCCATTCACTGGTAACCAGTAACTTAAAATTCTTGAGAAAATGAGTGACAGGCACTTGTGTTTGTGTCTGTCATTCACGAACGAAGGCGTGTCTCCCTCTCTGACTGCGAGACGTTCATTTCTTCAGAAGCAAAGTCCGGCAGGGCTCTGATTTTCGGAGGGCAGCTGTGGGGACCTTGAGATCCTCGTGTTTGCACTTACACTTTCAGCAGGAGATGCTTTTTCCAGCCTTGCGCCGTGTTTTCCATCACTGTAAGAAAGTTCATTTAGCCGACGATGTCTGGGTTATAGCATAACCCCGCTGCTATCCTTTTTTTCCAAATCCAGCGTGTCTATTTCAGTCTCCGAATAAAAGCAGTGGAATTTTGATATGGAAATGCTCTATTATACCGTGCCTCATGGAAACCGTGTTCGGCTTGTTTAGGAAAGGAACGGGAAAATGCAAATTTAGTTAAAGGTATAGCAAATGAACAGAATGACACGAGTCTTGGCCTTTGTGTTCTGAGGACAGCGATTTGACGCCCCACCCCCCAGCAGGGCAAGCCTCCCAGGGCCTGTTTGCCCACTGCCCCAGGTAGGGCACGGAGGTTTTGGGGCACGGCACAGCAGTGGTCGTGTCAAACTGTGTCAGTGGGTCACCTGTCTCCCATCCCTGTGTCTCACTTCCAGCAAAGGAAGCTGTAAGGTACACCGGACCTGCTTTCACTCCCGGACGAGACGCACAGCGTGCAGCTGATTCCCGACATGCCAGAGGGAAACATACTTCCACTGGTAGGGAGCTGAAGTTATACCAGGACACGTTTTTAGTATCGAGTGCTGGTAGTTTAGGTGTTTGAATCCAATCCCTGTTCTGTCTACATTTCACGTTACAAACATAGCAAGTCCAAAGTGACACACAATTGAGAAATCAGGGTTTAAGGGCCTTGCTCAAGGGTCCAATGGTGAAATTACTTTAGGGGCCATAGGACTTGTACCTGTGACCTTCTGATGACAGGTACAGCATCCTAACCCACTAAGCCTCACGCCGATCTGTGTGTACAGAGTTTGCATGTTCTTCCTATTGTTGTGTGGATTTCCTATAGGGGACTTGGTGTCTCTAAATGACACATAGTGTAATATGTGTGTGTGTGTGTGTGTGTGTGTGTGTGTGTGTGTATCCCGTGATGGACTGGCATCCGATCCAGGGTGTTCCTCTGCCCTGTGCTCGAGGTTATGCCAGTGACTCTTTACTAGACAAGTGTTTGGAAGATAAATGGATATTTTTAGTATCACCGCAAGAATGCAGAATGTTTTTTCTGTTTATACCACCATTAGGATTATCTACATTTTTCAGGTGTTTTTTTTTCTGATTTTAAGGTATTTTTGTTTGAGTGAATAACCTTTCTCCACCAGTTCAGAAAGTGTACACCATCTATAGATTGGATGTGGTCATCATTAACACATCACGCAGTATCTACGGCGTGTAACTCTAGGGCTTCCACAAAAGGCCTGCTCACATTCCACCATCAGTGAGCTGTGACTGGACAGAAATAAACGTGTCACTAGTGACCCTTCTACGTACACCCACTTCAAGGCACCCAAGATAGGGTGTGATAACAAGGTTTTACGCAAAGATTCTTAAATCTCAGTATCATCACACAAAAAAAATATTGCAAAAATATTACAAAAGGCTGATAGTTAATTAATGAATAAAGCACACAGTGCAAATGTTTTACGCTTATCATTAGTCCAAATTAAGTCTCACTGGCAAGTTTGTAATAATACTAAGAAGATTTAAGTGGAAATTAGCGGGAGAATATTTTAAAACAAATTTGAGGAAGCACTTCTTTACACAGCGTGTAGTTAGAGTATGGAATAGTCTTCCTGCTAGTGTAGCGGAAGCTAAAACCCTGGGTTCCTTTAAATCAGAGCTAGATAAGATTTTAACAACTCTGAGCTATTAGTTAACTTCTCCCCAAACGAGCTTGATGGGCCGAATGGCCTCCTCTCGTTTGTATAGTTCTTATGTTCTTATGTTCTTATTTTTTAAAAACGTACATGGGGTGATGCACGCTTCTTGTAGTCAGCTGTCTTCTCCAGTCACCAAAAGGGTGAAGTTTCAAATTTCAAAGCTGATTAGACGTCACAGCTTCTAACGCTAACAGGGCTGGATCTGCACACGCTGGGATCTTTGTCCTACAGCCTTCATGGCGCAGCTGACTGCTCTGACAGTAATATTATGGCTTTTTGACTTCCAGGAGTCTCCAGAGAGGAGCAGAGGGTGGGCTGTGGCATGACATCTGCCTGCAAGGGCTTCCAAGGACCTCACAAGGGTTGAAAGTTTTGGGCTTGGTCACTTGCGTTTGCAGTGACGTGGTTTCCAAAAGGTGAGTGTCTTCTTTACAACTAAATGGGTTAAACCAAAGCTCCATGTGGGGGGGGGGGCTCATCAAATGTGCTAAGAAATAGAGAGGAGTCCCAGCTGAGCACCAAACTTTCCCACGCATCAAAGGAGTGTCCGCACTTGATGTGAAACACAAGAATGATGGGAGAGCAGGCCAGGCTTTGGTCATACCACTCTGACTGCCCCCCTCCTGGCCCAGCTCCAGCACCCCCAGAGAAAAAAAACCCTCAATCAGCAATATTGCTCCAAACAGGCAGCCAGGACCTGAAATTTAAAGGAAAGCTGGAAAAAGGAAGGGCTCCCATCGACGTCTCCTGCTGGTTTTACTGGCTGCCCACCAATGGTGTTCCAGTTCCAAAGGTTGAGCCCATTACCCGGCTGAATTGGACCCGGGGCAATTAATTGCAGCGGGATTACAGACCTTGCCACAAAGCAAAAACACCACGTTTAATGGGAAAGGCATGTCAGTCAGGGAAACCTTGGTGCCCTAAGAGGAGGGAGAAATGATATCTGGGGTCAGTCGGGCAATACAAGCAAATCTGACTGCCATGAACTTCAGTGCGGTCACTGGAAGGAATAAAATAATTTGGTTAAACTGAGGTTGTTGCAGCAAATTCGATGCCGTGTGCATGTGACTTTGCAGGAAGCTTTAGCATGTTACATTGCAGCCGTTGATCTTACCTGTGCATGAGCGTGAGGGAGAGATACAGCTTCTGCCTCGTCAGGGCGCCTTAAATCCAGGCCGAGGAATGAAAATCCCATCTCCCTCCCCCCCCCCGGGGCAGCGTCGGGATGGGGGCGGGGTCTCAGCAGAGGACAGATCGCGGCGGTTAGGTTCACCCCGCCTGCGAGCTGCGTGTAAGGTGTTGTGTAAGAATGAGATGGGTGCCCTGGTGTAGTAGTGGGCTCAAAGTCTAAACAAAGCACCCCAGGCCCGGTAGGCTAAAAATAGCACCCGGGAGGGTGTGAATACACACTCACCACATGTTTATACGAGCTGCTTGTCATTACCTAAATCCTTTGTAAATGTGCCTGAAGGAAGAATGCCTAGTGTTCACGAGAGTGCTTCTTTTGTTTATTCCTGTTATTTGTGGTTTCTCTTCTTTGGGCAGAGGCCAAATAAGCTATGGGGTCATTAGGGCCGGCTGTTCAGCCAGCCGATTATCCAGGCTGGGGCGCAGAAGCATCGAGTCGGCTCTGTACCCCGCTGTTCGATGTTCTCAATCACGAAATCCACTAATGTGTCTTACAGTTGAATTTAGAATTTTTTAAGACCGTATGAGTAATATCTTGTGATTTTTTTCTAAAGTAATTTTTTCATGGATGTTCTGTACATTTTCACTGTGTGTTTCCCTGCTGTGGTTCAGGGCCTTTCTTGGGTTCATGGGGGTGATTTTAATGACAGAAGGTTGTTTCCTTATGCACGGATGTGGGGAACAAACTATGTAGTGACTTTCATTAATCATTCCTAACCTCATTATAATATTATTATCAAAAAAGTTTACTTAAGAAAACAAGGTTTTGTGGGTATACATTCATGATACCTGACTTTTAGGAGTTACACTCTTTATGGGGATATTTTGTCAAGATTGATTCGCATGACCAGTTGGCTTTGTTCTGAAAAACAAGGTTGGCGACAGCAGTGTGGTAAAAACACAGGAAAACACCACTCCTTGGCCGGCTTTACCTCCCTTCCTATTGCCTGTCCATCTGCAGCAGCAGCTGAGGTTCTGTTTGCTAAGATCCAGCCGGGCCAGGGAAGAACTTTCCCTTCTTCTCTCTTCCTTTAGACTTCCTCCGGAATCCCTCTGAAGCTCCTTGGACCCCGAGCCGGGGGGGCGAGAGGCTCGTAACTGCGGGGGTGTGCCCCATCCTGGTGAGCCAACCCACAAGCCGGTTCCTATACACCCCAGGAGATTGTGCTCAGACTCCACCCCACTGGAAGAGCTCCAACCCACATCTGTCAAGTTACACCTCGCTGTAGCCACTGTATATTTAATGATAATAATCATTCATTCATTTTCTATACCAGCTTTACCTTATACAGGGTGGTGGAGGTCACTGAGACACACTCTGAGAAAACAGGGTGAAAATTTGTAACTTGTCACTGGGGCTGTACCCTCAAGGGTCTGCCAATTGTACCCTTAGCAGTAGGTAATTGTACCTTTTAAGGTACAGAAATGGACTCTATACCATTGATGGTGAATTAATGCTGTTTGTATCTTTGGGATGTTCCTCAGAGTCTATTTCTGTACCTTAAAAGGTACAATAACAATGGTACAGCCTCAGTGACAAGCAAAGGCACAAATTGTTACCCTTTTGTCTGAGAGTGCAGCGTTCGGAAAGCGGGGAATAACCCATGACTGGGTGCCAACCTATCACAGAATAATCATTATATATTTATTTAATTACTTCCTGTGT